AAAAAACCGTCTTCGTTAAGCATTTTGCGTTTAATTCCGTCGCGTGTCGTCGTTGCGTAAGGGGCAGGGCAAACATTAAACTGACGGCGACCGGCTGTCACCACCTGTGCCGTCACAAGCCACGCTCACTACTACCGACCTTTGACCTTGTGTTTCTGTCGTTAAAAACCCGATGTCATTCGATCCCACTCAACGGGTATCGGGTCAGTGTTATCAGTGATCAGTGATACATGATTATCATATTATGTCTGCCACCTTTTATTTTGGTTAAACTATTGTCTTTATTTTGCTATCTGCTTCAGTGCATTCCTTTTTGCCGTTCTCTATTGCAAAGAATTTCTGTATAGCCATATAGTGGTTTTGCCACAACCTAGAAGAGGCTCAACAGTAAACTCAGCCGATCTGGAATCACTTGGTTAAGTAAAAGAAAGCCCTAATTGGGAATCTTCCTCCTCTGCTGTTGTCTCCCTCAGAGGGGTGGACAGGAAGGGTGGATAGAACTGGTTCCATGAATGGGTTTNAAACTAGGATAGCTAGTGGAAAATTGTACTTTTTTATTATTTACAACAAATGTCCATAATATTTTTCATCTATTATGATCATTTATGAACATATTCTTTTAATTTTTATTTTAGATTTATGTTCATTTTAGTTTTGATTCTAGTTTCCAGTTTTTCACGAAGGTAGAGTTTATTCGCTGCACTCGAAAATTTGGCGGCTATAAAGTTGGCACAGCTTTCAGAATTCTCTGACCGACTTCTTTTATAGTAAGTGAGCGTAAATCCCATAGCCAGTGCCCTAAAAGCTTGCATTCATTTTTAATTATATAAAGTCGACAGCTACTAAGTTCGAAATTCTTCCAAGCTCTCTGGTCACCAAAATTTCCTTGACCACAAAAAATTTTCTTTGATAGCTCCCATTGAGTCTACTATCTTTACCATTACTTTTAGAACAACAGGAGATGAATGTCATCCCTTCCTTACCCTCCAATGTTGTTGTTATGATTTATTCATATGATTTTTTCTCTTCAAATAGGAATTCAGGTATATTCTTATACACAGTGTGTACAAGAGAAAATGTGTTCTATATTCTTTTTTACCATTTTTCCCTTTTTGGGCAGTTTTTTGTTAATTTTAAAAGTTTGTTTTCATTAATAGCCTTCATTTCACACCTAACTGGTCTTATCGACCAGCTCTTTTGAATAATAATAATCGAAGTGTAATATTATATTGCCATTAATAATACTATGCTCTCACAAGTGTTTTATTTGTTGGATCGTTCACTCATTTATTTCGCACGTTACAGCTTTGCTACTTACCAATTAGGTGTTAACTTTACTGAATTAATCTCAAATCATTTTTACAATCAAAAATCGTTTTCAGTAACAAGTTTCTCATTTTGACAAATGTGAATTTGAATATTTCGAAAGACTGGAGAGTATCCAATGTCACATCAGCTTGTTATTAGTACAAATCCAACATCATTTCTTTTGCAACTTTTTCTTTAATTAAAGAAATTTGTATTTTTTATTCGTTTCTCATTATGAGAGGTGGTAAATCATAGATTATACAAAAAAGTAAAAACCATAACTCACTCTTGACTATCTCTTTTGAGTTTATTTTCCATTTTTTTCTATAATTTCTTCCCAGCGTTCATTTTCCTTTCCTTCCATATATTGTCATGAAGATTATATAAAAATTCATTATTTTTCTTGGAATTTTTACTCTTCCAGTAAGATTTTGTAAGCGCTACCGGACATACTATACGCCTATTATACGTAACAAAAAGAACTTAATAGTAATTAAAAACTGATAAGTAGTAAATAAATAAAGTAAATAAATAGTAAATAAGTAGTGAATAGTATTCTGAAAATTCAAAAAACGATCACGATTTGAC